CGACTGCAGGCGCGCACAGGGGCAGATGCAGACTAGCGCTTAGTCATTTGTGCTCCTCGAGTGGGTCCGGCCAGGCTGGTCCCGAGATATGCTACTACTACAAAAGGAGCATGTAGAAGGAATGACTCTGCCTACTGTCTTTCGTGGGCCTCTCTGATCTCTGTCCCAAGATCGCTCATTGTCACTTTAATAGTGAACTGCAGTTAAATTTAAGTTAGGTGGGCAGCCTGATCTACATATAGAGCTCCAGGCCAGTCAGAGCTACACACAGTAAGACTCTGAAAAACAAACAAAAAACCTGGACAACCCTGTAAATGACCTTTCGGTTACAGCCAATTTAATGTCAATCTTTTTCTCATGAGAATTCTCTTAAGCCTGGTTTAGTGTCACACACCTGTAATCTCAGCACTGGGAAGGCAGAGGCAGGATTGCCACAATTTTGAGTTCAAGCCTGGTCTCTATAACAGTATTCCAAACCAGCTGAGGTTACATAGTAATATCCTGTCTTCAAAACCAAACAGCCAGGCAGTGATGGCACACACCTTTAATCCCAGCACTTAGGAGGCCGAGGCAGGCATATTTCTGTGAGTTAGAGGCCAGCCTGGTCAACAGAGTGAGTTCCAGGACGGCCACAGTCAAGGCTACACAAAGAAACCCTGTCAAGCAGGAACAGATTTATGTTTTATAAACCCATTAGGATATAGCGTTTGTGGGACACATTTAGATCTTTAGTAGCAACAACAACAAAAAATAATCCTTAGGTTGTTCTAAAATACTATTTGAGCAGTCAGAGACCATTTACATGCAATCAGCGCTTTTTAAAATCACCGGGGGCTGGAGAAGTACTTCACTGGTTAAGAGTACTTCTTTAGTGGCTGTTCCTGGGCAGCTCCCCCCCCCCCCGGGGGGGGGGGCTGGGGACCAATGAGCCGGGATCTCCTCCACAGGCTGCCAGTGGATATGCAACAGCGGTGACTCAGAGATGACTTAAGATTTCCAGCTCTTTGAGACTAGATCCTGAACTTCCCCACGAGGGGGGAGACCCAGACCTCACATTGGGGTGGCTCTTAACCTCAGCAAACTTCTCCGCCCCTCCAGGTTGGGGCTCTGGAGCTACACGCCTGCTGAGGCATCTCCGGATTTTGTATGCCATCTGCATTTTGTATTCCAGAAATCCCCAGAAACAATCTAGACAGACAATGTTGTTAAAGAAAGTTGTAGAGAAAAAGTAATGATTGACTCAAATACTGTCACAAAAAGAAGGTGCTTCAATTTAAGATTGAAGATGAGCTGGACGTAGCAGCCCACACCTTTAACCCCAGCACTGGGGAAACAGAGACAGGCAGATTTCTGTGAGTTTGAGGCCAGCCTGGTCTACATAGTGAGTTCCAGAACAGCCAGAGCTGTGTAGTGAGACCCTGTCTTGTAAAAGTCAAAATAAAAATAAAAGATTGAAGATAACATCTCTTTAAAGAACACAAAATAACAGACCATCCTCAAAGAATGCTGAAAATAAAGATTTATTTATTTATTATTATTTTTCCTAGACAGGGTTTCTCAGAGTAGCCTTGGGTGCCCTGGAACTCACTGTAGACCAGGCTGGCCTCGAACTCACAGAGATCTGCCAGTCTCTGCCTCTTGAGTGCTGGGATTAAAGGCAGCTGGGACACCACCACCACCCGGCTGAAAATAAAGATGTCTTTATTTTCCATAGTCTGGCCTGTGGTTGTTGTTCTCCCAAAAGAAAGTACAGGTGTAGCAGGCAAGCATTCAGTCCTTGCAAGATGGGGAGAAAATAGTGAGTGTTGCCTTCAGGGCATTTATGAGGAGCTGTCAGATTCCACAGGTCGGGACAGTAAAGACGGCAGCAAGGTAACAAGCTAGGAACCCTGAAAAGACTCCTGCCTGACCCGAGTTAATGGCAGAATTCCTGACAAATAATAAATGGGCCAGAAGGAAAAAAAAAAAATTACGCCATGTGATCCTAACCTATGAACCAGGAAATCCTGCCGCCTATGGAAGAACACTGAGGGCGGGAGCCCAGAACCAGAGGACGATGACGGTTGTGAGGAGGGTGCTGGCAGAGAAACAGAGCCCCGTGAGTCGGGGTGTGAGAGAGGACAGACAGCTCCCGCGAAGGTGTAGCTGGGTCCTGAGGGAGAGCCCAGTGAGTCAGGGTGTGAGAGAGGACAGACAGCTCCCGCGAAGGTGTAGCTGGGTCCTGAGGGCTGCCGCTGTGGGGAATTTCAGGAGTGTGTGCCGTGCAAATGCAAACAGAAAGAAGAGGGGCCTCGGCTTGGTGCTTCCTTTGTTAGAGTTCGAGGGATCTGTATTCTTACTTTGAGCCCCTTAGGTTTAGGCTATATAGATCCAGGCAGGTCACTTAGAGCGGGAAGCAGGGAGGAGAGAGGATGTGCGGGGAACATACCAACGTTCTACACGCGTTATTTAATCTCACAACCCTAAGTAAGCATGTTACTATCCTCATTCTACAGATGAGAAAAGTGAGATATGGCAAGGGTAAACAGTTTTTCCAGTGTGAGTCACCTATTAATTTACAGGCTCTGGATTTATAGGCCTGTGTGATATCATGACGGCTACATGGATGATGTCCTTTCAGTCTCCTACCAATAACCACCACATCAAGCCTTTTTTTTTTTTTTTTTTCCTTTTTGTTTTTAAGACAGGGTCTCTACATAGAACCCTGACTCTTCTGGAACTCACAGAGACTAGCCTGCCTCTGCCTCCAAAATGCCGAGATTAAAAGTATATGCCACTATGCCCAGCCAGCATATGCTTTTGACTGCCATCTCTCTCTAGCCCAAAGAAAACATTTAAAACTTTTGGATACTTGGAGAAATAATATATGAAGGTGAATTTAAAAAAAAAAAAAAAAAGCAGGACAGTGGTAGCCCACACATTCAGTCCCAGCACTCTGGAGGCAGAGGCAGGTGGATCTCTGAGTTGGAGGCCAGCCTGGTCTACATAGTGGGTACCAGGACAGCCAGGGCCACACAGGCAGGGGGAAAAAAAATAAAACCACAAAGCAGAGCTCTGGATCTTTTACCCCCTTGCAAGTTGTTCCAACTGGTGCCTCCATCTGCAGCCGCACTATGGGAAGCAGCCATGAAAGCCTGATGTTTGGATGGCAGGGTCCTAGTAGGTCACAAGCTGCACTAGAACATTCCCTGCTGACGGCCGGAAGAGACCCAGGGAAACACTGCTGCACAAACAGCAGAGAGCCACCCAACTTCGCCGTGACCTATTGTGCAGCCTTCTCCAGAAAACTGCAGGCTCCCGTTCTATAGCACAGCATCAGATAGTCCCCGCCCTGCTGTCCATATGCTCCCCACAAGGAGGCTCCTTTTTTTGGTACTTCCTTTTCCACCAGCATCCGACCATGCTCTGCAGTTACCAATAAATATAAGCTGCCCCTTGTCCTTCTCCAGCTACCGCTAATTGCTATGACAGCACCACTCTCCAGACAGAGCGAGGACCTCTCCCCCTGCAGCCCCGATGAGTACTGGTCTGGGGTCCACTGCTGCAAGAAATGTAGTGCAGGTGAGTTCCGCAACGGGACCCGGTGCCAGAACATGGGCATGGGTGGCCCCACACCAGAGGCTGTACGGGATGAGGAGGGTGTGGGTCAGGGAGTTCACCTCAGCCACTACCTACTGGCTCAAACTCTAGGAAGTACCTCCTCGCCCAGGTACACAGACCCCCAAAGGCGCCCCTTTGTGTGTTCAAGAGAGTTGGTGTGAATTCTTCTACCAAGGCCTCACTAGTGGAAGTTCACCCACCTATCCACCCTTGGAGGCATGAGCTGTGGCACCCAGCTGAGAGGAAAGTTCTGAAAAGGGAGCTGGGAGGATTAATATTGCCTACCTGTATTTGCAACAGGTGCCAGGACCCCCTCTGCCATCCCTCATGGCAGAGCAGCTCACCAAGCCGTCAAAGGGTCTTCACAACTCACGTAGGCACACATAGTGGGCTGCAGATCCTTGGGGTGGCCCAAGGCCCTAGTCTGTCAACACAAATGTACGAGAAATCACACCAGGCCCCGTGGTGAACGAAGGCTCTCTCAGCAGGCCCATCCCGTGGGACACCCAAACCCACTGAAGTGTAGCTGTCCTGGACCCATGACCCACCCATCCCCTACTCTGTCATCCCGGATAAATCATTTAGCTTACTGGTCCTTAGGCTCCTGTGTATAGGAGGAGTCTCCTTGCAAAGTCCAGTTCCCAGCTGTTGAGAGAACTGAGCAATTTTGTGTTCAGTGTAGGCAGAGCCATGTGGGGCCAGAGTGAAACTACTTCCAGCTGTAAACTTCAGTTTCGCCCGCCTTCCCCCAGCCCTGGAGCAGTGCAGAGGGGCTCCTCTGGAGACAGTACACAGAGGAGTGGTAAAGATGCACACCAGCCCTTGTCTGTCTGTCCAGGCTGAGGTCGTCCCCTAATACCAGTAGACAATCAGGTTTGAAGCCGATGCTGCAGAGAGAGGCAGGCACTACAGGGCACTGTACCGTCACCCAGAACTGGCCACTCATGTCATCCTCGGTCCCAAAATTTAGAGCTTGACTTTAACATTTTTTTAAAAAATTATTTTATTTATTTATTTTTTAAGATTTATTTATTTATTATATATACAGTGTTCTGCCTGCATGTGTCCCTGCAGGCCAGAAGAGGGCACCAGATCTCATTACAGATGGTTGTGAGCCACCATGTGGTTGTTGGGAATTGAACTAAGGACCTCTGAAAGAGCAGTCGGTGCTCTTAACCACTGAGCCATCTCTCCAGCCCCCTAACATTCTTTATGGTCACTCACTTTCCCATTTCAAGATAGTTTCAGAAAGGAAACAGGGCTGGAAGGATGACTTAGCAGTTAAGAAAGCTTATTGCTCTCCCAGGGGACAGGAGTTTGTTTCCCAATACCCACATCAGGCTCCTCACAACCACCTGACTCCAGCTCCAGAGGATCTGTTGCTCTCTTTGCTCTCTATGGGCACCTGCACATACTTGTGTACACAGACAGACAGACAGACAGACACACACACAAATAATAAAAAATAAATCTTAAAAACAACAACCATAGAACTGGGTGGTGGTGGTGCAGGCCTTTAATCCCAGCACTCAGGAGGCAGAGGCAGGAGGATCTCTGTGAGTTCAAGGCCAGCATGGTCTATAGAGTGAGTTCCAGGACAGACGCCAAAGCTACACAGAGAAACCCTGTCTCAAAAAACCAAAAACAACAACAATAACCATCAACTACCGTAAATGAAAAAATTATTAATGTCCAAATAGATACAAGAACCAAACACCGAGCTCAGCCAGCTGTCCACTAGGCTTGACTCAGTCTCACTCCACTAGTCTCTCTTCTCCAGTGGACTCTGCATGTCTGCCACCTGGTCATGTCTGCAGCTGTCCTTCGGAGAATACATGAGAGTAACATGTTTGTTGGACTTGGTCCTTTTCCCCATAGTTAGTAGTTTATAGTTTCCTTTACAATTAATAGGAAAGGAAATTCCCAGGGCTACCTGAACACTTCCAAGTTGGTATCAGAGAGCCTGAACCAAGAGATACAAAATGGTTCCAGGAGAACCTGCTAGGACGAAGAGCTGTCCTGCCTTTAGGAAAGGCATAAGACATTGAGCACAGTGGTTCACACCTGTAATCCCGGCATTGAGAAACTGAGGCAATGGGATTGCCATGAGTTCCAGGCCAGCCAGGACTATTGACTGAGGCTTTGTCACACACACACACACACACACACACACGTAGAAAGAAGCTAAGCATGGTAGCTTAAACCTATAATCCTAGCACTCAGGAGGCCAAGGATTGCTATGAATTCCTGGCCAACTTGAGCCATACTGTATCAACACCACCAATAATGACAGAAAGAGGCCTGAGGAAGAAAGTTCTTGTTAAGTGACATGTTTGTGAGGCAGTAAATGAGGTGACCTGACTTCATCTGTGTCTCAAGTGCTTCTTAGAACACTGGGACTGCCACTCAAAGGGGAAGACATGGGGCTTAAAGGGCAGGAGTCAGTGACATAGAAGCTGAGCCCTGCGGGGGGTCTGAGGAGCCGTTCTATTCACCACTGGTTCTCTGGCTTCCTAGACCCCGGGGGGGGGGGGGGGGCGGGCAGATAGCCACAGGAAGGAGAGCAGATCCAGCAGCCCTTGCAAATCCTCAAGCAGTTTGTGACAGAGATTATCTAGAATTTGTGCTAAAGACATAAGCCCACCTGGAGCAACCTAGCCCCTTACCCCTGGGTGCCTGGAGCAAGCTGATCCCTGTCTGCTCTTATCCACAGGTGAATTTGTCAAGACGTCCTGCACAGTCTCCCACACCCTAGGACAGTGTGAGAAGTGTCACCCAGGAACGTTCACAAGGGCTAGTAATGGCCTAGAGTCTTGTATACCGTGCTCCAGCTGTGACGAACGTGAGTATGTGACTGAGCAGAGACTGGACTAGCACTGTGTGTCTTTGAAAACTGCCAATAGAGTCAGAAACACGTTAGTGTTAGTCCAGTACTGGGATGGAGTAGCCATGAATGATGGATGCCAGGATGCATCTGGCAAGTCCCACTAAAATTTGTTTCTTATAGCTGGGCATGGTTACGCAACATTTAATCCCAGCACACTGGAGGCAGAAGCCGCTGATCTCAGAGTTCAAGGCCAGCCTGTTTACATAGTGAGTTCCCGGGGAACAAAGGCTACACAGTGAGACCAAAGCAAAAATTATTCCTTATGGGTCAGAGAGACTCAGAGTAAGAACTGTGTCAGAAAAATCACAATCACAAAGACAGCTTTCCCCCTTGTTTAGATATTTTTCTCCTAATTGTCAATTGAATGCAGAACCTAGTAAAACACATGCAGGTCATGAGAAAAATCGTCCCTCCAAGAATAGGCAGCCATGTGTGCAAGTTCCCAAACAAGAGCTTCCAGAGCAGAGCAGTGGGTGTGGGGATCTGGGGAGGCTGCTGAGAGAAGAGGCACAGGCCTGCAGGAGTCACTGAGAGGATACAGAAATGTATGTAATAAAATCGGTTTCCAAAAACTTGAAGCAGGCGGGGTGTGATGACATATGCTTTTAATCCTAGCACTCTGGAGGCAGATCTCTGTGAGTTCAAGGCCAGCCTGGCCTACATAGTGAGTTTGAAGACAGCCAGAGCTACATATCGAGATTCTGTCTCAACAAACAAACAAATAAACAAACTTGAAGCAATTGCTGGGGCCAGGGTTGCAGCTCAGTGAGAGAGTGTTTGCCTAGTATGCAAAAGACCTGGGTTTGTTCTCTGACATTATGGGAAAAAAATTGTTTCGTGCCTGCATGCACATATGTGTATACGCTCCTGTGTCACTGATGTTGTTAAACGAAATGACAAATACCACAATATCCTGTGCCTCAGTGCTGTCGTTTGCTTCTCCTAAGCATAAAGGTGGAAGCAGGCTGAGCACAGTGGCACACATCTCTCTGATCCCAGAGCTCAGGAGGCAGAGATAGAAATGCCACTTCAGTGTGGCCAGCCTGATCTGTGGAGTTCTAGGCCAGCCAGGACTACGTAGAGAAATATTATCTCCAACAAAAAAAAGACAAAAGACAAAACCATATTCCACAAGCACAGATCCCCTGATGCTGTAAGACATCTGCAGAGAGCCGGGCTGGGGGTCCTCCTGGCCTATGTCCACTGCTGTACTCTGAGAATGGACACGGTCTAGCTTCAGAGCACTGTGAGTGAAAGGTTTCTGTACCCCCATATTGGGTTTCCCTGCTGGTGCAATACATCCAATCAGTCCGAATTAAAGTCCAGGTTTTCATCTGAGCAAAGCATTCCCGGGGGGTCTCAAGAAAGGGGGGAAGGTGTGGTGGCGGCCGAGGCGGTGTAGCTCCGTGACGAGTTCGGCTTTGCACGTGCCTCCCACCCAGCGCAGCCACGATGCCCAAGAGGAAGGTTAGCACAGACAGAGCGGCGAAGGCGGAGCCCAAGCGGCGCTCGGCGAGGCTGTCAGCCAAGCCCACCCCTGCCAAGGTGGACACGAAGCCGAAGAAGGCTGCGGGAAAGGATAAACCATCAGACAAAAAAGTGCAAACAAAAGGGAAGAGGGGAGCAAAGGGCAAACAAGTGGAGGTGGCTGACCAGCAAACCACAGATGTACCTGCAGAAAATGGAGAGGCTGAGAACCAGAGTCCAGCCTCTGAAGTCGAAGAGAGAGAAGCCAAGTCCGACTAACCATCCATCGTGTCTGTCAGTGTCCCCGCCTCCCTTCTTGTACAATCCAGAGGAATATTTTTATCAACGATTTTGTAAATGCGAGTTTTTTAGTAGCTCTAGAAACATTTTTAAAAGGTGGGAGGAAGTCCCGCCTCATCCCATTTTTTAAGTGTAAATGATTTTTTTAAGAGGTTAAATCACTTGCTGGTTGTTTATTTTTTTGGTACAACCAGAAAATAGCAAGATACTGAATCAGGAGAGGCTGTGACTGTCTCGGGGGTCACCATAACATTCCGTAAAGGGGCCTAGTTTTATATCCTACAACACAAAGCATACTTAGAGTCTTGGTCGTGCATTTGTGTCTGGAATATTTTCAGTTATTTCTGGTCTCGTGTTTCTAGTAGAACTGTATCCTAAAAAACCACTCCTTGGTCCTTGCCCTGTCAGAACTGTCTCTGGTCATGGCAGTCCATTTTCCTAACAATTGTGATAATGTGCTGTGAAAGATTGAAATTTTGAATATGTACTGTATGTGGCATAAAATTGTGAGTCAGTGGAATTAAGGATTGTGAGCATTTGATTGTTATGTGAGGTCTTAGGGAAAACTTGCCAAGTTTAGGATGGAACATCACTGGAATAAATTCAAAGAGAAAAAACACATGGCTCTTTTGGGTACATGAACACAATGTATGACTCTTAGAGTTTGGGTCCATGTTTTAAGAATTGAAATGTCTGTGTACTCAACCAATAAAGTTTCAGTTGTGAAAGAAAAAGAAAAAAAAAAAAGAAAGGGGGGAAACCTCGAGGCAAGTCTATGAGCCGGACCTTAAATACTCTGTAGGTGGTCTTGAGGAGCTCCAGGGGAGGAGATGCTGCTTGGCGTGCTGAGGGTGGGGTTTGGAGTGGGGCCCCAAGCTGGAGATCCCTAACAGTGAGGGGTTAACATGTTTGTGGTGCACTGAACTATAGACACAGGAACACCTCAAGTAGGAAAACCATCTTCTCTCAGAAGCCACTGAGTCAGTCTCAATTAAGAGGGGTGCAAGGTCCCACCAGGGATCCAGACACGTGGTCACTAGCTCTTCAGCAAAGAATGAGGCAATTAAATAAGGCAAGTCAGAGATGTCTGGAGATGGTGGCCTTGGGGAGGGGAACTTTGGGGCAGCAGTGGACATACATGTCAGGACCACCTGTGATGGAGGCCTCAGGCTAGTTTGATGCTGTTGTATGGGATGCTGAACAATGAATCTCCCAAGCCATCATCTACCTCAGGTCTGGGTACCACTCTGGAGGCCTGAGGGTGATCGAATGTTCATAGTAGTTAGTACTGTTTAGTGTTCAGTACATCTGTGATGGCTGGTAAAGCTTGTCCTGGGACACACTGTTCCTCTCAAATGATGTTGGGCTCTATGTGCATATTTGAGGACACTCATCTTGACCTAACCCTGCTCTTCCTTGGATTGCAGGCCAGGAAATGGTGGCTGAGTGCTCTGCCACCAGTGACCGGAAATGCCAGTGCCAAGTGGGTCATTTCTATTCTGACCCAGAATCCTATGAAGTCTGCCTCCTGTGTACCAAGTAAGAACATTGTGGCATGGGTCAGTGGTGGCTTTATACATTGTTTGAGTGGCCTCTAATGTCCAGAGAAGGGGACAGTCTGTGTCATTCTTTGTCAGGGGGTAATGTGGGGTGGGGACTCTGTGGCCTGGATGGTGCAGAACTTATTGCTAGATATCTCCAAGTCTAGTGCCCCTTGAGAGAAAGTAGATATCCCTGCTAGGGACACAGTTTTTCTGAGTGATGTCTTCCAGGAGGTTTCCTCAGTGTAACGGGATTTGGGAGGGCTGGAGAAAGTCTCATTCATTCCCAGGAAGATAGATCTGGGTTAAGCTGTAAGGGAAAAGACTTCAGGGAAAGGTTTTAGGAAAATTCTGTGTTTTTCCCCCCTCGATAAGACGAATTCGCTCCTGTCAGATGTCAGATGGAGTTGTTGCATATTCAAACCACTAGGGGCTGTCAGCACAAGCCGCAGGCCTGGGGAGTATTGCTCTGGGGACTGAAATCTGAGTCCCTAATAACAGCAGGACAGGCCTCCTTTTTCTCACCCCAAGGCCACCAAAGAGGCTATGGACATCAATGGAGGAGGGAAATGTAGTAAATTTTGTATACTTAGTGAGAATCACACAATAGTGTCTGAGATGCCGTGGAGCTGGTAAGAGCTGTGTGGCCAGAGCCCTGTTGCAGATCTTGGATCATGATGCTGCCTGATGTGGTTTGGAGGTGGCATCAAGTCTTTCTGGGCATCCTCTGCTGCTGATTGGCAAAAAGAACTGAGGGTGTCTCTTTCCAGGTGTCCCCAGGGAATCCCTGTCCTCCAGGCCTGCAACTCCACAGCGAACACAGTGTGCGGTCAGACTACAACAAGTAAGACAGGTGTGTTTTTGAACACTATGGCTATCTTCTTATTGAATGAAAATTGACATACCACAGCATTAACTGTTTCAAAGTAGACATCAAAATAACACTGAATACCAGCCCTCCATCTGTTGCAAAATACATGTCCCCTAAACAGAATCTCTGTCTCTGTCAGACCCTGACCCTCCCAGGCCAATGTGCTTTAGTGGCCTGTCTTGCTCATATTGTTCAAAGATGTAGAGTCACCATGTGTAGCTTCTGTGTCTGGATCCCTGAGCATCATGTTTTCCTGTAAAATATTTTACGTGTATGGGTGTTTTGTTGCATGTATGTTTATGTACCGTATATATACAAGAGGTGACAGATTCCCTGGGATTTGGAGTTACAGATGGTTGAGAACCACTATGTGCATGCTGGGACCTGAACCTGGGTCCTCTGCAAGAGCAGCCAGTGCTCTTAATGACTGAACCATATCTACAGCTACCTGAGCATCATGGTGTTTTTTAATAATTTATTTAACATGCATTAGTATGAAGGTGTCAGATTCCCCTGGAACTGGAGTTACACACAGTTGTGAGCTGCCATGTGGGTGCTGGGAATTGAACCTGGGTCCTCTAAAAGAGAAGTTAGTGCTCTTAACCACTGAGCCATCTCTCCAGCCCCTGGGCATCATGTTTTAAGGCTGACCTAGGTTGAAGCTATCAAGGCCTCATTTTTTTTCATGACTGAATCATTATCTAGAACCCACATGTGTCAATGGAATTTTAAATAATCCTTTACAATAAGTAGACCCTTGAACTGAACACTGAGTAAGGAAAAGGCAGCCTCTTCAACAAATAATGCTGGCAAAAGAACATACATGTTTGAAAGAATGAAGCTGGATCCTTATTTAACAATGTGCAAAAATTAGGACTTGGCTGAAGCTCAGTGGTAGAGCATTTTCCTAGCATGCATGAAGCCCTAAATTCAATCCCCAGTACTCCAAAAAGATACAGTAAAATTCAACTAGCACACACTGGCCCTGGCCTATAATTCTAGCACTGCACAGCTATGAGTGTCAACAGCCCAAGGGGGAAAGCATATTCAATGGAATAGCATTCTCTCTTGAAAAGGCACTCTGACACAGCAGTATAATAAGCCTTGAAGACAGTGTGCTAAGTGAAATAAGCCTGGTCCTAAGGGCCAGTGTGGTTGTCCCTGGGCGATCCTGGAGCGGCAAGCTGACAGAAGTGAAATAGAGAACATTGGGAACCACAGTCTGGGAGCAAGGCTGGGAAGTTAGTGTCCACTGGGGGCAGAGGTCAGTGAGGGAAGATCAGAAAATTCTAGAGTCTGGTGTGGAGATGGCTGCACAGCCGTGAAAAACACCTCAGATTAATCAGCTGTGTTCTGAAAGTGGTGAGATATTAAGTTTCGTGTGATGTGTGTTTTACCAAATTGTATAATAGTCAACAAACTCTTGGAAGCGAGGATGTCTCCTTCCTGTTGGAACACAAGGCCAGTCCTTTCTGTTCTCAGGAGCGCCAGCATGGTGGCCTCCCTTCCTGCTTGTGTTAGTCTGCTTTGCATCACTGTGATAAAATGCTGGCCAAAAGCAACTTAATGAGCAAAGGACTTATTTATTTTTAACTTGCTTACAGCTCACAGTCCATCAGGAAAGGATGTGGGCAGGAACTCAAGCAGGCACCTAGAGGCAGGAACTGAAGCAGAGGCCATGAAGAAATGCTCCATGGCTTGTTCCTCGTGGCTTGCTCAGTTGGCTTTCATAGACTGCTCAGGAGTGGCCCTGCCCACAGTGGGCCTCCTCTCTTGATTAGCAATCAAGAAAATGCCCCCACAGACAATTGCCTACAGGCAATCTGGTAGAGGCATTTTCCCAGCTGAGGTTCCCTCCTCCTAGGTTGCCCTAACTTAATGTCAAGTTGACCAAAAAAATGGCCCAGTTCCACCTGTGCTGGGCCTGTCATCAGGCCTCTGCCATGCCAGGAAGAAGACTGTTGGCTTCGCCATTTGTTCTTTATCATAGACTGCCAGAAAAAAAAAGTCTGTTCTTGACTTGGCCATAATATTTCTTGTTTTTCCCACTTTCAGATCACAGGAATTGGCTATGGCTACTACTACTACTACTTGTTTTTCCAGTCATTATTGCTGTCTGCTGTTACCTGAAAAAAAAAAGGTCCTGTAGATGTCCAAGTGACAAATTAGCTGAAGGCACGTCCGGGGTGTCTGAGTCTACAGAAGGTCAGAACAAATGGCTAACCATGGTGCCTATGAGCATACCAAAGAACATGCTGGCCTCCAGACCCACTCAGGACCTGTGGCTCTTCTCACTACACCCCCTGCCCTAAACTTCTCCAGCTCGTGGGCTCCCCTTTCCCCAGCTTCTCATTCCTATATAACCCTGCCATTTCATCCATGTGCCTTCCTGCTTCTCCCTCTCTGGGCATTCTCTGGCCCCCTCTTTCTTAAGAGATCCTTTCTTCTCTTCCTCTCTCGCACCCCCCTCCCCTGCTCCCCTCCCCACCCCTTCTTCTCATGGCCCTGATGCAGTCTACTGGCCATGTTTAGTCTACTACTTTCTCTGCTCTGGACTCTTCCAGATGCCTCTAGCTGTAGTCTCCTTCATGCCTGCAATAAAAACCTTCCCCCTAACCATTATTGGAGCGGACATGTCCTTACTTTATTATACTATGTCTGGTGCCTGAAACCTGGGAGGAGCACAGGTGAGCCCCTTCCAAGGGGCTTGGCCTCTCCTAGTTGAAGCAGGCTGCTAATTTGTCTTTCCTAAGGTGTGTAGGTGTGGATGGCTGGTTTCTGCTGGCTTCTGCTACCCCCCCCCCCCCCCCCCAGTGGACTCCTGTTCTGGAGCCACCTCTTCAGCCCCTGCCTCCTACCATTTGCTCTAACCATTTGTCTCTCCTCGCCTACTTGGTAAGTTTCTTCTCAGTCTCTCTGGCTCCTGGGGCCTGCTATGCCCTCTTGTGTACCCACTGCATGGGCATCTCACTGCTAAGAGAGCTGCCCCTCTTCCTCTGTTGGAACCCTCCCTTTTCCCAGGCTGCCTCTTCAGCTGCTTTCTTCCTACTTGCTCTACCCACTCACCTCTCCTCCTCTACTGGGTAAAGGTCTCCCTGGAGCTGCCTGCTTTGTCTACCATTACTGTAAAAGTCACACCAGTGTGCCAGGAAGCTTCCTCTCGCCCTCCAGGGCCCCCATCACGTGGAAAGGGATGCCACTCCTCTATGATTTGGGATATTTCTCTCTGACAGGTCTCTCAGTCCCCTTGGGGGTGCCCTGGATTGAAATTCTTGTCACCAAGACACTTACCCTTCTCTCTTCTGCCCTGGTCTTGTCTATCTCTCAGCTGCCTCCTGGAAGCCCTGCAGCTTCTTTCTAACTTTTTGGGCCTCCAGGATGTTGGACTCCTCCTTAAGTTGGAGTTACTGTTTGCAACCTTTTCCTCATCTCCCTTCCAGAGCTGCCTGCTCTGGCTCTTCTTTACATCCTCCTGAGCCTCTATAGTACTGGAACCCTCCCTTGGATGGAGTTCCTGCTTTCGTAGCTCAGCTCCCTCTTGGAACCTTCCCTCTGGCAGAGATATGGCCTCTGACCCTTTCTCTTTTCCTCTTCGGACTCAGACATTTCTTTAAAGCCTTACTGTCTTACCGTAAATGGCTTGGCCTCAGTACGGGTTACAAAAATGGCACACTTGATTTCTAAATTCTCTGATATGGGAACAACTTCCGCCACTGCACAAACAAATGATCCCCAAGTCTCTTATACCTAAACTTTCTCTGCTGTCCACCTCCTAAACCCTCTTTTCTCAAAGCTTTTCCTACTTTTGAAAATCTTCTGTCTCTGATTTCTTTGTTCTCTGCGCTCAAAGAAAAGCTCTTAAGACTATCGTGTAAACTGTAGCTGGAGAGCTTCTCTCCAGGTCCCACCAAGCCCTGGCAGTCCAACAGCCTACTTATAAAATAAACACACAGACGCTTATATTATTTAAACTGTTTGGCCTAATGACTCAGGCTTTTAGCTATCTAGTTCTTACATCTTAAATTAATCCATTTCTATAAATTTATACCTTGCCACGTGGCTTGTGGCTTACCGGCATCTTCACATGCTGCTTGTCATGGTGGCAGCTGGCAGTGTCTCCCTCCACCTTTCTGTTCTCTCAGTTCTCCTCTCTGTTAGTCCTGCCTATACTTCCTGCCTGGCCACTGGCCAATCAGTGTTTTATTTATTGACCAATCAGAGCACATACAGACCATTCCACAGCAGTAAACTGTATCTCAGGATTTGTAAGTACTTTAGGTATGGTTAAAAATTTTCAAAATCTGCCAGGTGGTGGTGGTGCATACCTTTAATCCCAGCACCCAGGAGCCAGAGGCAGGTGAATCTCTGTGAGTTCAAGGCCAGCCTGCACTACACAGTGAGTTCCAGGACAGACTCCAGAAGCTATCCAGAGAAACTCTGTCTTGGAAAAGAAAACAAAACAAAAAAAAAAAATTGCAAAATCTGTAATTAAAAGTCAGCTTAAAACATATAACAAAAGGCTGATAGGTAATCTTAGTTTGCTACAGCATATTTATATATGTGATTCAACTCTTGTTTAGAAAGATAGATCTGCTGCCGGGAGGTGGTGGCACACACCTTTAATCCCAGCACTTGGGAGGCAGAGGCAGGCAGATCTCTGTGAGTTCGAGGCCAGCCTGGGCTACCAAGTGAGTCCCAGGAAAGGGCACAAACCTAACAAAAGAAACCTGTCTCGGAAAAAAAAAAAAAAAAAAAAAGATAGATCTGCTATAGCATACTGTATCTGAATGTGTAACTGGAATTAAACTCTTGTTTAGAAAAAGAGATGTTTTTAAATAGCAACTATAGCTGAGTGGTGGTTGTGCATGCTTTTAATCCCAGGACTTGGGAGGCAGAGGCAGGCAGATCTCTGTGAGTTCGAGGCCAGCCTGGTCTACATAGCCAGGGCTATACAGAGAAACCCTGTCTTGAAAATCCAAAAAGAAAATTTTAAACATATTTTTCAACTATGTGGCTCACCTCCATCTTTGGCTGATGACCTGTTTGGAAAGGAAGCAGTAATGACCGGCAGCCGTCTTTGCTAAGGCTAAAGAGTACATGTAACTTCGCCACTGTCTTGATTAAGATAACCATGTAGCATAAACCAACTAAGGCAACAATCATAAAACATATTAGTCCCACTGAGTCCTCTGCTTACCATTGTATCTCCTTTTTAGGCTAAGGAGGCAACAGCAGCTAGCCAAATTATTTTGGATTAGGGTGGATTTTGTATGATGATAAATTCCTTAGGTTATAGAGGTATATTCAGGTTAATAGAACCTGACTTAAAGATGTCTAACTACTTATGTCTTGACACCAGGTTTCTAGAAAATTTTAAATAACTACAATCTATGCTTGATGAATTAGGAATATTTGATAAATAAGGTTTATAAATTCCTAAGTCATAACAGTCTGTTCAGATTAACAAAAGCTGACTTAGAGATTTATGTCTAACTGCCTATGTATTTTCTGTGTTCACACCAGGCTTCTAGAAACTTTTAAATAGGGGACAACATATATTTGATAAATAAGGTATATTTGATAAGTAACATTTTAAAATTCCTAACATCTATTCAGGCTAACAGAAACTGACTTGAAGATATATGTCTAGCCTCTTTGTCTTTGTGACTGTATTTATGGTTTAAAATTTTATTTGGATGCTAAAGGATCTTCAATTAAATCTTCAATTCAAAGTTTTAAGGCCCAAACTTAACAGAGATAAAATTGTAAAATCCTAATTTTGTATATGCTACTAACTTGTAAACTGTTAAAGATGATTAAGACATGTAAGTTAATGCTCAATCACCTTATAAGTGATCAAATTATTTAATGTGCTCAGAACTATGCTCATAGTCATGCTAAGTACAAATGTAATTCATTTACAGGAACAAGCTTTATTTAGCCTCCTGTATATGTTTTCAAGATTAAGCCTATAGCAAGTAACCAAAAGCAAAGTTTGATTAAAATTAGGTAAACTAAATAGATGGTCCTCAAACTCCTCAGAGATCTGCTGAATATGGCATTTAAAGTATTTAATGAAAAAAAAAAAAAACCCTATGATAGACAGAAATGCCAGCTATTAGTATTGACCCTAAGGTCTCCAAAGAAGAAGATGGGGCACAGATGACTATGCCTTGATTGTGGTAACACTAACCACTGGGCAAAGAACTGTTCCATGCCTCACACACCATCAGGGTCCTGCCCAAACTGTGACCAGTGTTAGATTGGTAGCTCTCTCTGTCTCACCAAGATAGGTCAGTTTTCTCAAGTTCCTCCTGTGTGCCACAGGGGAACCTAGGGTAACTGTCCAGGTAATGGGTAAATCTCTGTCATTTTAACTGATACAGAGGCCATTTGGATTACACTTCCTGCTCTAATGTATTCTTCTCAGATCTCTGATAATGTTGACTGTAGAGTTATCAGTTTAACAGCAGCAAGCACCCAGATCCTCCCACAAGGCTGCAGCTGCCTGGTCAGTCCATTTCTTTTCTTTCTTTCTTTTTTTTCCCCCTCCAGGGCCTTGAGCTTGCTAGGCAGGCACTCTACCACTGAGCTAAATCCCCAACCCCTTCATATGTAAAAATCAGACTCAAAAACAGTTTACCTTGCTGGCTGACTTCACACTGAAAGAAATACACTCACAAAACAGGTTTCAATGTAACTTTTTACTATTCCTGAGCTTGCTTTGCAGTGACTGCTCTTACTAATCTCTGGTATCTCATGGTAAATTACTGGATGGAAAAAGAAAGTCTTTGATGTTTATGTAAGTTGTGAGGGTCTAAGAATGTAATTTAAGGCCGGGCGGTGGTGGCGCACGCCTTTAATCCCAGCACTTGGGAGGCAGAGCCAGGCGGATCTCTGCGAGTTCGAGGCCAGCCTGGGCTACCCAAATGAGTCCCAGGAAAGGCGCAAAGCTACACAGAGAAACCCTGTCTCAAAAAACCAAAAAAAAAAAAAGAATGTAATTTAAGGTATGTAGAGGCAAATTGTAAAGGTCTCTTGATGTAAAATCTTTAGTTATGAGGGCCTAAGAAAGTGATTTAAGACACATAAATGCAAGCTATAAAGGTCTGAGGAGTGGTTTAAGGTATATTAGAAATATTTCAGACTGTTTTCCTTCTTGCTATGCTATTGTTATACTAAGACTTCAAAAGTTCAGAATTTTGACATTAACCAATGGAGTTCTGATAAGCTATTAACCTAGCTATGGTAATCATAGTCACAAGCTCAAAATTTTAAAGGCATGAGGCTGCTGCATTTTCTATAATGTAGATTTCGGTACAGATTATAAACAGTGGTAATGCTGACATATCTAAAACTTTTATCCCTTTTTTTAAACTTAAAAAATTCATGTCAGCTTCAGGGAGTCCTGACTTGAATCCACCTGTCATAGGTCAAACAGGTTCCAGATAAAGACTCCTGTCAACCAACAGTCTAAGCTTCCCACCTACTGCCTATTCTTGAGAGTGGGCTTTCTGTCTCTCTGTGTCTGTCTGTCTGTCTGTCTGTCTCTGTCTCTGTTTCTCTCTCCCTCTCCTCATCCCCTGGTCTTGGGACTACTCCCACACCCCCAGCTACCAGGACCACAGGCCTGGAAGTTTCAAATGTACACCTAAGATAAATATTTTCCCCTAAGTTCCTTAACTTTACCTTCTGACACTAGTCTGTATCTGTCCAAATAGATTTGCAAATCAACTGAAGACTGCAAACTGCTCCAAATCAAAACCAGCTGGCCCTGGACTTGCTGTAAACTGGTGTAAATCACAGGTGCTTCTGACAGGATTTCCAACCAGCCTGATGAAACCTTTCTTGAACCAGCAGTTCCAGACTACTCCAAAGCAGCCTGTTCTTCCTGGCACCTGGTGGTCCTGCAGGACCTGGGCAGGAGTGAAACAGATGTTTGCCAGCCTGCACTCCTTTCCCTTCCTGGCCTTTGACAACCATTGCAGCCTTCCTGAGTCCTGACAATGAAGCCTTAATTTCTACTAAGAAGCAGTTACAGAAGAGATTACATTGCCCCTTATTAACAAAATAAAAAGGAAAGGTTTTTTGGTTTTTTTTTTTAAATAATATTTTAACTTTATTTTATGTGCATTGGTGTAAGGGTGTCAGATCTCCTGGAACTGGAGTTACAGACAGTTGTGAGCTGCCATGTGGGCACTGGGAATTGAACCTGGGTCTCCTGGAATAGCAGCCAGTGTTCTTAACCACTGAGCCATCTCTCCAGCCTCGGAAAGGTTTTAACTCTAACTTAGTAAAAATATATACAGTAAGAACAATTGCTGGGTGGTGGTGACACATGCCTTTAATCCCAGCACTTGGGAGGCAGAGGCAGGCAAGATCTCTGTGAGTTCGAGGCCAGCCTGGGCTACAGAGTGAGTTCCAGGACAGGCTTCAAAGCTACATAGAGAAACCCTGTCTCGAAAAACCAAAAAAGAAAAAAGAAAAAGAAAAGAAAAAAGAAAGAAAAAAAGAACAATTGCCAAGTATTACATTTATAATGCCCATTCAATTTGTTTTCAGCAGATTTAAAGAAAATACTCCATCACTTATTCTATCTTGGTGAGTTCAAAGCTCTGTACCTAATTTACCTTCTATCATGACTAAGGAAAACTACAACTACCTAGTCTTCAACTCCATCAAACACCCCAGAAGGATATATGTAATATTACCTGATGAAACAGGAAGTGCAATGAAAGCCACTTCCAAAACTACACGTGACAGAGACATCTGACTGCCTGGAGAGTCCGTCACCTAAGGTCCCTCTGTAATTTTGGAGCATCCATGTTCAACCTACAGGCCTAGAATTTGACAGACTTCTGTGAAGCAGGAGTTTTGAAGAACTGTCTCACCTTGTTTTGACCAAGTTCAACAGTCTTTTTTCTTTGTGTCCTGTTTATATAGTTTGTACAACATACTGTCAGCAGTCAAGACAAGAGCAGTTTCTTGCTCAAAGGGCTAGTCTTGCCACATTAAAAGCAAACTCAATAGGGAGTTTCTTCGATGCCCATCATCTTCTCTGAAGTAAATTGGTGCTGCCAGGAGCATCACTGTCATGAAAAGCCCTAGGTTAACAAAGCCTTTTAAATACCATATTCTGTAGTCTTGTATAATAGAGGGACCAGCCTTAATATTATACATCCCAGGGGCTCAGGAGAGAGAACTACAAATGGCAAGGACTATTTTTGGGAAATAGAATCTCAGCACACCAAGCTCTTAGTCCAGTCATTTATTCTTCCAAATCTTTTTCTTCCCCTCCCGTGCCGTGGAAGTCCTGGTATATATATACTTTCAAGCAGTATTCCCTTGGCAGTGCAAAGCCAGGCTTCCAGGGTCAAACGCAGGGGTAATAGGAATCACATAGAGGGGCAATAACCGTTAATTATCATTTGCAACCCCAAAGGGAAGTGACCAGTGGGGAAATGAATTAACTAAAGGCTAAATTCGGGTAATATATAAGAAGAGGGATCTTATGTGCTCAACTATAGTCTTAAACATGATTGGTAGAAAATGTTAAGAATCTATAAGTTGCTAGGTAAATGGGAGAAAATAAAACTGCCTTCTTGTCGGGCAGTGATGGCGCACACCTTTAGTCCCAGCACTTGGGAGGCAGAGCCAGGTGGATCTCTGTGAGTTCGAGGCCAGCCTGGGCTACTGCCTGAGTTCCAGGAAAAGCACAAAGCTACAAAGAGAAACCCTGTCTCGAAAAACAAAAACAAAAACAAAAAAAAAAAAACCAAAACAAGCAAAACAACTGCCTTTTTTCTTCCTATGGCTCCCATCTGTCCAAGCTATCTGCCATTTTTTCTGCAGGGTGGGGAAAGGTGTGCTCGGTCACTAGGCAACCTGTGTACAGTTAGATGCCTCTGGTGATAGTTAAAGGGAGATCTGGAAGTAGAGGTAAGATTTGGGAAAGGAGGAAGTTAAGCTTAATTGGTACATCTGCCAGGCCTTTTCAAACAGGTAGTCTGGATGCTTAAGTCTGTTCTTAGAGAATACAGAGGTGTCTCTGATAAGGTACTTTCCTCCATCTGGGGACGGACCTGGCCAGATGCTGCCAATGACGATAATTACAGGGAGGCTTGAACTGGGGTTCTGGCTGAGCATAGCTGTCAGCACAGAAAGTTATCTAAATATTCCTAGAATTGGTTAGGTAAGGAGTTAAAGGTCTATAAAGTTAGTAAGGCTCTAAGAAAGGAGGGTCCGAGCTAATTGTGTAAAGCTATTACTTAACATCCACCTGACCTAGGTGGTGTCTCCTTGTGGAATTTGCCTTAAATCAGGAGACTAGCATGTGGACTGTTATTACTGTTAGTCATTGAAAGTGGCTAAGGGAGATATCTGATTCCAGAGGAAGCCTTTCCTGAGACTGTTCTCCAAATACCTTGAATGTGTATATCCAGAGAGTAATCAGTCCACACTGTTAGTCTTTCTTAGGGAAAAATCAACTGGGAAAACTATGAAGGCACACATGATTTTCATAACAGAAGGCAGCCGATGTATAACAAGCCAGGTAACACCAAAAGCTCCCTAGAATTTGGCTTCCTCTGAAAGGAAGCCAAATTCCTTGATCCCTTCAGGTAGTGACTTTGCCATAACCAGCTGAATTCTTATGATATATTCCTGCAGCACACAGCACTGTAGGTCTTTGAAGTGTTTGAAAACCATCTATCTGTCTAAAATATATTTTTGTATGACCTTGAAAACATACCTAACATGACTACAAGTTTAACTGTTACAGATGTCTAACTACTAACCTGTGTTCCTTAATTATCCTAAATGGTTTATAATAATAGCTCTTAAGGACTTGAACTTTACTTTTTGTTTGTTTGTTTGTTTGTTTGAGACAGGGTTTCTCTGTGTAGCTTTGGTGCCTGTCCTGGATCTCACTCTGTAGCCCTGGCTGGCCTCGAACTCACAGAGATCCACCTGGCTCTGCCTCCCGAGTGCTGGGATTAAAGGCGTGCGCCACCACCACCCAGCGAACTTTACATTTTTAAATGAGCTGCATAGGTACAATACCTTAAACAAGAGTAGAAACTTCTATACAGTATAACAAAAATAACCTTAACTTTGTATTAATATACAAAAATCCATACCAATGTAAAATACCTGAAACTAGTGTGCAATGCAAGGCAGTTAGCCAGTTTGGGCCTAGTACCTTTTTTTTCTTTTAAATAATTATTTATCTTTATTTTATGTGCATTGGTGTATGCATGTATGTCTGTGTGAGGGTGTCAGACCTTAGAGTTACAGACAGTTGTTCGCTGCCATGTGGGTGCTGGGAATTGAACCTGGGTCCTCTGGTAGAACAGTTGGTGTTCTTAACCACTGAGCCATCACTCCAGCCCCGGGCCTAGTACCTTTGACATGCAGATTCTTCCATCAGGCAAGATCCACCATCCATTGCAGTTCTCCTGGGCCACCAAGTCAGAATATGACTTGATTTCTTCTGGGTCATACGAAGGAACATCTTCATTGGGCAGAGCTGGGACTCAGGGATAGCAGATAGTTCCAGAACAGTCTGGGGTTTGGGTTCCCCAAGAACAGCCTCTTTGGAAATTTGATCTGCATAGGTGTTACCTTGAGTTTTGGGGGGTTTTGTCCTTTTGGTGTCCTGGCCAGTAAATTATGGCCAGTTCCTCAGGAGCCAGATGGCCTCCAGCAACTGGACAATTTCATGTTTGTTTATTTATTTATTTATTTGTTTGTTTGTTTGTTTGTTTGTTTGTTTTTCTTTGCTTTTTTTTTTCAAGACAGGGGTTTTCTGTGTAGTTTTGGTGTCTGTCTTGGATCTCACTCTGTAGCCCGGGCTGGCCTGGAACTCAGAGATCTACCTGGCTCTGCCTCCCAAGTGCTAGGATTAAAGGCATGTGCCACCACCTCCTGGCTTCATGTTTATTTTTAATAGTCTTTCCCTCTGAAGTGAACAAGCCTGTTTATATATCTATCCATGAAAATGAGCCATGGAAAATGCATATTGGTTGTCTGTGTAGATGTTCACCATTTTTTCCTTCAGCCCATCTTAAAGCCTATGTCAGAGCAGTTATTTCAACACTCTGGGTAGATGTACCCCTGGGAAAGGCTTGTGCCCACATGTCCTCCTTCTGGCCTGTGACCACCACTGCCCCTGAATATCTGGCTTCTTGAGTGAAGCTGTTGCCATCTATGTAGAGACCTTTGTCTTTGGTGGTGAGAGAAACATCTGTCAGGTTAGGTTGCACACTTTGGATGATGTCCAGCCTCTGCTGGCAGACATGAATGGTCTCAGGGTCATCATCAGGCATCAGAGTGGTGAGATTAATGGCCAAGGATTTATTAAATATGTTTATCCTTATCTAAAAGAAGGGGTTGGTACTGGGTCATTGGTGTCTTAGGGTTTCTATTGCTGTGAAGAGACATCAGGACCAAAGCAACTCTTATAAAAGAAAACATTGAATTGGGGTGGCTAATAATTCAGAGTGTTAGCCCATTATAATCATGGCAAGACATGTTGGTATGCAGGCAGACATGTTGCTGGAGAAGGAGCTAAGAGCTGTAGTGGTATTGGCTCCACCCATGACCTTGGGCTATAGGGCCTGAAGGAGGCGGTGCTTCTTGCCATTGTACGCAACCTCTTGAAAGGAACTGCTTCTTGGTGTGATTGAACTGGCAGGTGGATTAGCTCCTGTTCAGATAAGAGGACGACTTCAGCTGTCTACTTCGTTCTGTATCCCTGAGTGTATTTCCTCAGTTTACCTTAATAAATTTCCCTAATACTCCTTAAGCAGACTCCCATGGATTTATTGCATTAGAGAGTTCTACATCTTGATCTGCAGGCAAGAGGAAGTGAATTAAACTAGGTATAGCTGGAGCATAGGAGACTTCAAAACCAGCTCCCATAGTGACACATTTCCTCCAACAAGGCCACACCTACTTCAGCAAGGCCACACCTCCCAACAGTGCCACCCCCTATGAGCTTATGGGGGCCAATTACATCAAACTTCCACATTCCACTCCCTGCCCCCCCATAAGTTTGTAACCATATCATAATGCAAAATGCATTTCATCCAACTTCCAAGTCCCCATAGTC